CTTGAGTTTTAAGGTATGTTATGAAGCACATGTATTAGATGTAGATTTTGAATAGAAAGACATGCTGAACACTGACTAGTTTGAGAAAACTTTTTTGAAGTTCAGATGTGAATTGCTCATATGCTGACAGACTTTGGTGCTTCTATAATGTCTCCTGTATATTGGGCAGACAAGCAGTTTAGAGGTGTATTAGGGTACTCCTGTGGTCCAGTTTTGTTTAGCAAAGGGAGATGGCAAGATCCAGTTGTCCCTTAGTAGTGGTATGAGTTATAGGAGCTTCTGCAGTTTGTTGCTGTGAAGGAGAGAGACTCTGGAAGGACATGTACCAGGTTTCCCTGCATATCATTCCTCTCCTATTATTGTAGTGGCTCAGGTGGGGTGTGCAGCAGATGGTTGTGTGGCTTCTGGATGCCGTGAGGCCTGTGAGAACTGCTCAAGTCCTCACCTCCAGCTGTGCTGACCCCTTGGGCTGTCCCTGTGGTGTCTGAGAAGTGGTCAAGGTTTTAGGATGGGTAACAAGAGTAAGGTATATAAACAGAATAATATGATGATATTTTATTGCTGCTAAATTTGAAAAAAACTGACTACTGTTCATCTGCAGTCCCAAGTAGGTTTAAAATTGTTGTTTCACATTTTTCTGATTAGTATTTTGTGTACTAAATACAGATGAGCATGCACACACACATACAATCTGCAAATCTATTAATGATTATCCTCTATTGTTCTCCTCTAAATTTTTTCTTTTGCTGTCAAACAGGTGTGCACATGTCTTAGCTATGTGCACATGTACATTTAGCTGATTCTGTTGGTAGTATCTTGTTTCTCAAGGTCAGCACATTTACATATATATTTGACGGTGTGACAATGTTGAAGTTTAAGGGCGGCAACGAACAACGTACATGCTAAAGATTCTTATCCTTTGCTTTCCAAGTGGTGTTGCAATAATTGAAAACATGCTTTAGTAGGCTCTTAGAAGCTGATTACAAGAACTGTAATTTTGCTAGATTTGCTAGATTCTTCTGTGCTAATGTCAAGGAGGTTAATGTTGCCAGTTTATAAATGGAGAAAATACTGACCTATAAATACTCTAATATTGAGCAGCAAATCAGTTGCTTCTGTATCCTGCAGACAGGCAGCCTCATTTGGTGAGATTTGGAATTTAACATGCAGATTATCAGGCCAAACCTCCTCTTTTCATCAGACAGACCCTCATTTGATATAGTAGGGATTAGCACAGTTAAATTGTATTTTGAAATGGTTGTTTCAGCCCCCTATCTGATTAGGGATGGTTTGCCGTTTTAGGGGATTTTACTTTGTCTTCATGCCTTGTTCTCACCCATCTGAGTGTATTTGCTTTACTTCTCGTGGCTGGCTACATAATAGCAGTATAGGGATTGTATTACACTTCCCAATCTGTCAATATGGAGGACTGGCCAAGAGTGTAACAAACCAGTATTGCTTCAACTCCCTGTCTCCAAGGTAAGGCTAATCAGCTTTTGTTGAAAACAGCAATCGGGGATTGCTTTCTCTCCCTTACTTGTTTTTTAACTTCTTGGTGCCAGATGCTTCAGTGCATTCAGTGCCAGGGGAAGACTTGTGCTCCCTGGATTAGTAGTGTCACTTCTGCACAAAGATATTTCAATATTGTTTTTCCCTGATCCAGTAATGAGTCTGATGTGGTAGTTAGGACTTCAGACATCATGCTTTCTGTCTGTAGGCTGGAGTTTAACTTATTTTGTGTTTCCAGCATCTTTCCCATGTTGTGACAGTTTTTCACATTTTGTTATTAAAGAACTTTAACTATCTTCTGGTTCAAATCCTGTGCCTTAATTGCTTCTTAGTTTAGCTGCTGTCCTTCTGGATGAAAAGAAACAAGATAGGATTCCATCCAGACCCTGCCAGTGTTGGTTTATTGTCCTTGTGAATATCTAGCCACATACACTTCACAGGTTTTAATATAAGTAAAAATTTGGGGGAAGGGGCATTTTTCTAACAGCAGTTCTACTCTTGGAAACAGAAACATTCTCTCTACATGTGTGTGCTTTCCTATGAAAGCTGATAGCATCTTATTTTAAAAATGGAAAACAGCCCTTGTGGATCTCCAGACTGCACAGTTTGATCTAAAATATTCTTAGTCTGAACTAAAGTATTCTTCAAAAAGCCACTGAGGATTTATTACTCCTGATTTACAGCTGGAGAAAATGAGCAGATCGTTTAGTCGGTGGCAGTACTTTCACTCTAGTTGAGAACACAGATAGGATTTGAGAAATGGGCAATTCTGAGCCTTGTGCTCCTTTTCACTAGTGCACACCCTGCCACAGTTGAAATAGGCAGATTAAACCTCTTAGTTGATTAGAGTTGGTTTAAGGCTTTTTGGTTTATATTCTATATCTATTCTGTTCGGAGATGTGAGTGAGAAATAACTACAAAGTGTGTAGCTTACATTCAAGAGTTTTGTTGGACTGTGTTTCTGTGACTATGGATGATGCAATGCAAAATACGTGGTTTCTTCAGAGATTACAGCAGTGGGTTAATACCTGATTTCTGTTCTCAGACCTATAGCAGCCTACTATATAACTGTCGGGAAATCACTTCCTTGCTCAGTGCCTGATTTGTTCTATCAGTAAAATGGGAAGAATGATGGTTAGTACCCGAGCTATGTATTTTGAGACTTATTAAAGACTTGAAGAAGTTGCAGGTGGTGTGAAAGCTGTGGTTCTGAGAGGGAGGTTGTTAGTACAATAACAAACCCAACCATAACGATTCTATGATTCTACAGAGTTAAAATGGAAATTTGCTGAAAATCCAATAAAGTTAGCAACTGTTAACCAAAATAATTTGCACTTTAAAAAGCTAGTTGTGTTTGCATAAATATGTGCATATGTGCACACACACATGAAATACATGTAACACGAGTATATAAACATATGAGTTGTTTTCCCTATTTCAGGCAGTTTTAAAGCTTCAGCACTTTATGCCTCAGCAAACTAATGGTGTTCACTTGCACTCTGAAAGTGAAGTAATAGATTTGAGTGTTTGCCTGTTTAAGACCTCCTTGGAATTTTGAGAACTTGGAAAACTCATTTGTAGTGTTGAGTTTTGGTTTCAAGAGAAGCAGGGGGATCAAGGCAGGCAGGTGAGCATCCACCCAGTGTGATACAGAACTGAACTAATGTGACTGTCTTCTGAGTCATTGCTTGGCCCTCAACCCTTTTTGCTAGCCAGCATAAGATTCATATATATTAGCTTGGATCACAGACTTACACAGAATTTTTTTGTTTCTGTATTAATTTCATTTATTATTACTTTTTATGCAGTGGTAGCATGCACAAACCAACCAGATTTGGACCATGTTGTGACTGGCATTGTAAAATATAGTAAATGACAACATTAGCCTCGAAGAGTTTTTACCCTAAAAAAAATCCCCAAGATCCTGCAAACATGCTGCATTTATGTAAATGCCTGTCATATGAGACAGACATTTATAAATGTCCTGTGTTTCTCTGCTTATTGTATAATTTACTACACAAATATATTCTTCTACTCAATCAGAAATTTACTATATGATTATATGCGTTTAGTTTCCTTTACAGCAAAACAAAAAGATTAGATTAGCATAAACCAGTTCCAGCAAAAGCTTGAGAGAGAATGCAGGATTGGAAAAGGCCTTTATGCATCCAAAACAATAAGAAGTTTGAAAGGCATATATCCTCAAAGAGAAGGATTGATTATAAGGTTGACTACTAGAGTGGCCTTCATCCCTTTTTGTAAGTTTATAACTTCTAAGGCATTCAAAGTTCTTCTCACACACATTATTAAAAAAAAATCTGAACTGATATAACTCTTTTTTTTTTCATGTAATGCTACTGCTTTAAAATAACTTTTCCTCAAGTTTGATCCCGATAATAGTTACATTTTTTGTGAAGATGTTTGTGATAACAGTCACAAAAGAATCATGGCTGCTGCAATTCATTATGAAACATGAAAGAGAAGATACTATAGCTGACAGCCATGTCTTAAAGCAGGCAAATTACAGATTTCTCTCCTAGGAGACAGGTAAAGACAGAGTACCTGGTGAAACCAGAAGGGAGAGAAATTCAGTTAGCCCTGTAACTGTAAGAGAGCTAAAACTAGAAAAATATATCCACAAAACAACTGGTTCCAAGTCAATTCATGTGTCTGCTGGTTGCATGCATTGCAGCTCTCTTTGCTTCTCCATGTGCAGTGACTCATAGATACGTTCTTGGAATTCTGCTTAAAAATGTCTGAAGTGTAATGATTTTAAAACGGGGGTCGTCTTTGACGGAAGATCATTTTATGTTGTTTATTCCAAGTTAATATTTGATGTTGGTCTAGAAGTAAATTATACTGGGTAAAGGTCAACATTACACAACTGAATCTCATGTATATACACAGTTTAGGCTGTATATGTTTTGTTCTCACCAGTACAGCTCATCGTAGTGTGACCATTGTGGTTATCTCAAGAAAAGGAGAAAAAACACTTGGTACTATAACTCTAGCTGTTGGGTTTCTTATGTGATGCATAAAATTCACGTTTTTAATAAATATGTTGCACTGCAGTATCATCACATAGATTCATTGGTACATTTCCAGACTCATTCTGTAGTATGTATGCTATAGGAAGTATTACAGAAATGCAAGTTTCAATTAATTTAAAGAAGTATCTTTAGAGGCACAAATGGATGTGGAAGTTTGGCAGAGACAAGCCCAAGAAGTGTGCATGTTGGTTTTGGGTTGTGATAATTTATTTGGTGGAAGATTACTGTGCTACTACTCGTCTAAGTGTGTACATGATAACTTCAAAGGGAAGAAAAGATGATTTGGAGTAAAGGGGGAAATTGTGTAAATTTTAATGGTTTAAAAACTACCTAAAACTTAGACTGTGTATTATTTTAAGTCATTTGAAAAAGAGTATTTTTTTGCTGACACATTTTATAGTTTAACATTAACACTTAAAGACTTTTGTGATTTGTGTGCAGGTATATGTCTCGAGTCCATGGTATGCATCCAAAAGAAACCACACGTCAGCTGAGTTTAGCAGTCAAGGATGGTCTTATTGTTGAAACCCTGACGGTGGGGTGTAAAGGGTCAAAAGCTGGTATTGAACAAGAAGGATATTGGTTGCCAGGAGATGAGATTGTGAGTATAAAGTCTTTGAGAAAATAAATCACAATTTCTGGTATCTTGGCATGAAATTTGTTTTAATTTCTCTTTAAAGGTATTTATTGATGCTGTGTTGGTGCTTGTGAACAGGAAAGTAATGTACTCTTAAACTCTTTTAACCTTTTCTATTCCATAGAAGCTTTTTCTTCTTAGATTCTGAGTTTTTTGCTATGAAACACTGGCAAAGTCCTTTGCTTAGTCATCCCTGACTTTTATGTAGTATTCTCTTCTACAGCTGTACAGGAAGACAGTAAATATTATTGGTATTACTTGAAATCCTCAGACATCCTCAAATCCCAAAGATGGTATCTTTAAAAAAAAAAAAAAAAAAAGACAACAATTTTTGATTAATCTTACTTTAATTTGAATCTGAGGAACGAAGAACTCCTCTTCAAAAATACAAGAAGTTATACATTTATGTACAAACAGACATGAAAAGATGTGTTTTACAGATATTTGTGAACACCAGAGCATTCAGTTAGGAAGGACTTTTTTAGAAAATTAGTTACAGGCATCCAGACATTGTTCCACTGGATGTGTAGAATAAATATTTAAATCGAGTTAAACAGATTGAAAGTTATGTGAAGGGAAGAAAAGCACGTCTTCTCTATCCTTCCATAGCTGAGATGGAAGGCACTTACAAAGTTAACTGAGAATAGTCCCATAGACTAGGGAGAAGCTTGTACAATTGCTTTGTCTTGTTCAGAAACCTGGTCTCTATATTTGCAAGACCATGTTTTCGTAATTAAAAAAAAGAAGAGTTTGGCAAAGCTTTAAAATACTTGAACGAGGAACCGTTGCTTTCCAATATAAGTTCCATTAAATACTGGTAAAATGGACAGCATTATCTCAGACATAGATAATAATTTAAATTTTGAGGAAAACCAGAATAACTCTACAGGAAAATAAATTATGAAAACCACAGAAATAGTCATTGCATTATTGCATCCATCAGTAAGATACCAAAAGTGAAACAACAGATTATTTTTTGTTTTAAAGTGAAAGAAATAGAAAGTGGAAACAAGCAGTATCCACAACAGAAAACATTATGGTTAAAATTATCCCAGTTACACTAATTTAAAGTATTGAAATATGTATTTAATGTACATTATGTCACTGTTAAGATTCTCATTCTAATTTCATTAGAAACCCTCAAGAGAGCCTTTAAAGGGTATGTAGCTTTGTTTTTACTATTCTCCCTAGGAGTAAACATTTCAAAATTCCAGCTTAGCTCTTTTAGGTATTTCTTACGTCAGTTTTATCTGTTTAGAGGTGATGTTAATTGTGTAGACTCAACATGACAAAGTCTGAGATCTGTAGTTATCTCAGCTATTCAGTATGTTTGTTTCCTCTATTGCTAAGAGGGAAAAAAAAAAAAAAAAAAAGAAAAAGAATCAAAATGCCTCACAATAGCCATTTCTTAAATGGTCATTCAAAAAAGTGTTCCTGCTACTTATTAGCAACATTGTCTAACAAAACTTGTAAGATAAACAGCATGTAAATTCCCAGTGAGTCATTTGAATTACATAATTATTTTATCTCAGGATGAAGAGTTGTCTTTGACTTGACTGAAGATGCTGCTAAAGTCACATTATGAATAGCCCTTTGGTTAGAAGTGTTGACTGTATTTTCAGCATGTCTGCTAATCACTGATGCACTGTGCTGTGACCATATGTCTGATGGCCATCTCAGTTGTTCAGAACACCAGTGTGCACTTGACTTAACAGTTTTATGCAAAAATAGGAATCGCTTCTGATTCCAGGCCATGTTTCAACAGTACCCCACCTCCAGTTTCTTGATCCTAATACTGAATCAAAATGCTGCAGACAAATGAAGCAAAACACATTGACTTGATATAAAGTCATTCTCTTTGTTCTTTTACTAAAAAAAAATTTAATGAGTAACAAAGCGTCATTGTCATCACTCGACATCAGATCAAGTATTATCTATTCTCCAACAACTGGTGCAAAACCATGAAGTTTGGTATGTTCTTTACGTTGGACACTGGATAGTTTTACAGATGCTTTGTCTGCACTTGGTCAAGATGCAGTTTGTAGTTCTTTGTAATTCAGTACTGCTCAGATCTGGTACTAATGACTGTTGAACCATGAGCTCAAGTTACATTTCAGTGAGGACAAACACACACAAGTCTTTTTGGAGATCCACTTGTAGGAGATAGAACTCTATAAAATAGGGCTATTAATGCTGGAACAGAGATTTTAGGGTCATCAGCCTTTAGCATTTACAGACAGACCCTTAACCCAATTGTCATACTTGGTTTGACTGGTACTACAGGAACTTGGAAAGCTCATAATGTGAAAGAGAAAGACTTGAGAACTTATCCACCACCTATTGACATCAGTACAAGAATGCCCTTGGATTTTAGCTTGTTTTCTGGCACCACAGTGGACGTCAGTAAGGACCAGCTCTTTCAAGGAGCTAGCAAAGGGACGCATTCCCGTCGTTGTGTCCCCGTCCCCCCCCCCTTTTTTTATTTGAGCATTTACTTGATGTTTCTTTATGATTTTGAAGTTTTGGATCTAAATCTTAGCATTTTAAATCCATATTCCAGTAAATAAATTACTGGCCCAGGCCACAGAACTACTGAGCACCTGTATCTGTTACTTATATAGGTGCCCAACTAGAGGCTGCCACAAGGCCTGAAAGTACTGGTTTCAATGATGACTGCAGACTGATTACTAAATGGTAACAGTAATTGAAAGTATACAGATTATGAAAACACAGCTCTATTTAGAAAAGATTCATTAGATAATCTGTGGTGCTTACTTATGTGTTTCTAAACATTTGCCCTATCCAATAGGTTGACATAATGATAGGTTTATGCACTAAGGACACAGTCTCTGATAGGGTTACTCTTAGCTTGCAGAGGAATATGTTAGAAAAAACATACTACTTTGCTGTCATTGTTCTATTAGTATGTTGAAGCTGTGGTAAAAAAATGAGGCAAAATCTCATGTATTTAGAGATATCACGCAAAAGAACAAGATGAGGTGCAGAGACAAAACAGTTTGAGAACATCAGGAGGCCCTTCCAGAAGGGACAACTCATGTGAAAATGAATATTGTGAAAAACTGGGAAAAAGAATGATCATATTTAAGAGACTATAATATTATTCTCTTTTTCTCTCAGATATATGTGGGAGAAATATTTTTATATAAGTTACTAAATTTAAAATATGGTGTCAGTTGCCAAACATACTGTATTCCAACTGATATTTAAGGGTTGGTACCTAGACAAGAACTTTGTTGCAAATATTATACCTCTGGGGCTTGTGCAGGTATTCATTTTGTTTGCTCATTTGCCATCTATACAGATATTTTGCACATTTTCAAAATGTGTTCTCGTCCTACAGGCTTTCTCATCTTGCAGATGATTAATGCATTTGACACAAAATAAATGAGAGAAGAAATTATATTCCATTGTTATCCAGGATTTTAGTTAGGAATTTTGCATTTTCACTGTTCATCAATGCCGTTATTATGCAATTCAACAAAATCTCTGCAGCTTCTTGCCTTGCAAGGGAAATACCAGTCCTGAAATTTGGTAATGGAAGTTTACTTTTTCTTTCTAAAAGCTTTATTTCTATTTCTCACAGAACTTGGAGGTGTTATTTATTATCAACATAAAAGAAATTATCTCCTTGCTCTTTGGGTTTAGAAAAAAATTTGCAAATCAGTGTTGTTAACTATGTTTTCAATGCAGTTGATAAAATAGAAGAGAAACGTAGTTCTTGAAGAAAAGAATCCTGAATCTCCATACCTATTCATTTCTATTTTTACTTATGCCAGGATTTTATGTACTTCTATCTGTGTAAAATAGTGCTCAGTCTAATCATGATGAAAGAAATCAAATTAAAGTACCAATGTCATGTGGCTTTATGGGGGGTTAGATACAGTTCTTAGAGTTAGTTTGTCTTAGTCATTTACATATTTTGTCATTTTTCCACAGAGAGTGTACACAGAGCTATTTTGAGCATTTAATGTGCTCATTCTTCTCCTCATGATTAAAGTCATAAAACTGCACTGACCCAGAGAGAGGCATTATGAATGTATAATTTCAATTTACATGTGTTCATAAAGCCAAACAATATTGTGCTCTTCTAAAATGGAGATGTGTTAGTAACATGGGTTCGTTGTTTGCATCTGAATGCAACATATCTCATAGCACTGCTGTGGTTTAAAGTTGGTTCATAGTGGCCAAATTCTCTAATGAGAAGTGAAGAGTAAGGCTTCACACTTAGTTAAGGCACTTTGAGTTATTTCTTCACTGACGAAATATATACAAGGTGATTATGTTTTCAAGAAGTTATTCTGTAAAAGAGGTCTATTTTCTGATCATTTAATTGATTGCTTATAGAAAGAGCCAGCAACTCTTCTGGCTAGTTAAGTCTGACTTTGAGGTTTAGTTACAGTCATTTTCCTGTGCATTTGGTCCTCTCCATATCTAAAGTATTGCCTTTCCAATTCTTCCCTCTAAATATTTTTTATTTTAGTGGAGAGCATGTTATTTAGAGGGGCAGTTTGCTCACTTTCCTGTTTTCAGAAAACATTAGAAGTAGAATGTGCTTTTTCCCAACACACCCATGTATTCCTAACTTGCTAACTCACTACCTGGTATTTTCCGATATTTTGTATCTAGAAAGTACTGATGCTTGCTCAAAGTCACTCCAGATCCTTTCAAGTCTCAAGGCTGCCTAAATAATCCATCTCTTCACTCTCTCTGCTTTACCATCATTTTAACCTTTGTTGTAACCCAATGCCAGCACTGTGAGTTTTGAAGGTGATTTTGTTATCTGTAGTGACCTTAGGCACACACCCAGTGATTATTGTGATTTGATGTATTGCAGGTTCAATTTTGCTAGGATCAGTCTATGAGAAAGGAGTATTTTGGTTGTTATGTTTGTGTTAATGTAAATTGCTTTAGACTGAGCAAAGCCTGGGTTCCTTACATGCCAT